AATCGAAGCTGAAGACAAGACGAGCCGAGCAGTGCGAGTTGATGCCGGTTTTTATGGCATACGGACAAGTGACAATCATCCTACTTAATTGAATTCTTGGCTGCATAATAAATCAACTTAATGCGATCCAAGTGTGCCTGCGAGCATGCAAAGCAATCCAGAGCTCGAGCATGCTTACCCCATTCAGACGCGCAAATCCTTTGGCTTTTTGTAGGGCAGAGAGAGCGAGAGAGAGAGAGAGAGGAAATATGTGGTTTAGGCGGCGGCGGCAAATAAACAACAATAACACAGTGCAGTCGAACCCACCACGCCCACACATACACATACATCTGTGTGCGTGTGTGTGCGCGCCTCTCCAATCATGCCCATGCCCATCCATGGGAATGGTTGTAATTTCCACACTTGTGCTGACACATTCAAAGGGCTTTGGGTTTTATTTATGAATTGAGAAATTGACATCCTGCACGGGCGACGGCGGCGGGGGTTGGTCTTTGGCTCACGGCTCGATTTTTATTGCCGGCAAACAAGGAGGCTTAAGCGCACCAGAATCATCGTCATCAAATGAACAAATGAATGAAATGAGCCTCGAAACAGCGCCAGGCACTTGCCGCTGCATGTTGCCGCCCCTTCGATCCTGCCTGAAAAGCGAATAAATCGAGCGTAAAATATTTCAGCTCGGACTCCTTTGTTATACTTTGCCACTTGTTTGTGCCGTGCAGGCAGGTTGAAGCGATTTGTTTTGCCCAGAGCTGAGCTGAGTTGAGCCGAGCCGAGCACAGACCCGGGCCAGCTTTGCCCGCGCTTGCGGTTGAGATTGAGGTCCTGGCTGCTGTTGCTGCAGTTGTGCAATTTGCTCGCTGCTCGCTGCTCGCTGCTCGTATGCTGCCTGCTGTGATTTTTCCCATTGAGGGTTGATTCCTGATGCTTGTCCATCAAATTGAGCGTCACTCAAGTATTCAAGTGTGTGTTGCTGTTTTTTATCCTGCAGATACTTCAAAGATTTAATAATGACATAAGAAGAGCTGCCATTAAACCTGCCCAGCCGCAGCAGCCATTGAATTGTGTGTGTTTGCCTTTGCGATTCCGTGCCGCAGACAGGTGCAGCAGGTATCAATGGCTGAGGCAAAGCACTCCACTCACACAAATTAGTGGAGCCCAAGCAAAACCTCGTTTCATTGTCTCATATTGTGTCCTGCGCTCTGCGTCCTGTCAAAGCAATTCGAGTGTCAAATCTTTTATTTGCCTTTTGCAGATTTCGCAATAAAAATTGTGTGTGCGCCCATCCACGTCTATATATATATACGTATCCTTGGCACATCCTTTTGGGCGGCCTGTTTGTTTGCTAGCAATAAATTTGCTGACAAAAGAAGGATTATTGCTGGCTCATACCGCTGTCCCCTGCTCCCTGCCCCTGCCCCTGCCCGTGGCTGGTTCCTGTCAGCGTGCATTCTTCGGCGTTATTGTTTGCGCATAAGTTAATTGTTCCCCTTCAAAGCTTAAACGCATCGCATCCTTACGCTCAACTTGAGCACGCCCCGTACCCGGCCCAAGCCCATGCTGCGCTTAAGCGATGATTAACCGTGGATTGACAGGGGCTGCCGCAGCGGATTCGGCATGGATATGGGTCGGCATACTTAGCCCAAGCCCGGGCTGCCATCGCAAACTCTAAGGCAGAGTCGCTATGGCTACACTCGAAGTGTGGATCAAGCACTTACTCAACTGGAAATAGACTATGGGCAAATCCCTAACTAGTTACACTAATCACTGACTATCCTTAAATATTTATGTCTGTGTTGTTTATGTCAGCGAGTGGAAAGAAGTGAGTTTAGCCTAAGGCTTATATATATTTTCTTTAGTATATCATATCAAACTATCTAATAGATAAATAGTTAAACTAATGTGGCTTGAGTTGCTTGAGAATCCCAAGTTTGCCTAAGGAATACTATATTATTGGCTTAATGAATATATTGATATACAAATTATGTTTAATAATTAAATTTAGATTAAGCTGAAGTAATTATTACCATCCAGAATATTTGTCTCTGAATCTGAGTATTTCTCGCCATACACTTATTATTTTAAACTATATATAATATTTATATATATATATATATACATATATATATATATTTATATATTTTATTTTTATTCCAGTTCAGAGTCAGCTTAGCAGTTGCGAGTTTTGAAGCTTTGATCCTTGATCCATTGTACAGACAATTTTATATCTTATATCTAATATTATTATATATCTATATATTATTATTATTATTATTATATATATATATATATTTATTATATATATATATATATATATATATATATATATATATATATATATATATATATATATATATATATATATATATATATTATATATCGCATATAGTTTTCCATTGCGTTCTTTCCCCATTCTATTTATTTATCAATTTGTGTCAAATGGCAAATTATATTAAAATAGTCTCTTCTAATGAAATACGTCCATGGGAAATATTTTTACGTATTTATACTTTTAGTGTGAATAGTTCGTTCAGCTAAGAGCTACTAATACTTACAACTACTGGTTTAATTACTTAAGCATAATATTTATTGTAATTAATTGTGGCAAGTTTTAAGTCTTTCATTTCTTGTGCTCCATGCGCAATCTTCCCCTTTTCCTTCCTTCTCTTGCTCTCTATATGTCTCTCTCTCTACACCTCTCGCTCTGTCCCTATCCCTCTCGCTCTATCAAGAACTATTTTATTTTTTTCATATTAAGTTACAAATAATATTCAGAATATGATTAATGAATAAAATATTTCGTTCCCGATAGATGAATAAAAATTCCTGAATATAAAAAAAGTTATACATATATATATATATAGAGAAATCAGGAATATATAAACTTATGATTTTGTGTTCAGTTCAGAAGGAAATCATAAAAATATATTGTGCCTATAAAATAAAAATTTTACTTTTTTTTCATAGCAATTACGATATATTTCATCAGTTTCCTCATCAGTTTTAATTGACTTTTCCAAATAAAATGGAAATCTGATTTTTCTCAGATTCATTTATAGCGCGCGCATTCCTTGAATTCCGTTTAGTCATCGCATTGGCTTTAGAAAATCACATTTATAATAATTGCCATTAAGGATGCATCGAAATCAATGGCTTTCGAAAACGCTCGTTTATTACTTCTTTTGGAATTGAAGCGCTCCGTTTGCTTGGATGTCCATCTGAGCTCGTAAAAAGACAAAGGAAATCCGCAATAAATTTACCACAAATAAAATTGCACAACCAGAAGCAGCGCCACAGCCAGAGCCCCAAACCCCCAATAAAACCGAATACATATAGATATAGAGATATATATATAGAGGGTGGGCGTTACCACGCCCACAATGTTGACTAGAAATCAGTGATTTGTAAGTGTAGCCAAGTGATTTTTGTATAGCGATGATTGGAATGGGCTCCGGCTGGGATAAGCAACGAAAATAGAATAATGAAAATCATGCAAGGAGAAAGAAACGATATCAATATTGTCCTGCCAAGGGAGCTTCTATATATATATATGTGTGTGTGTGTGTGAGTGTGAGTGTGTGTGCTAGCAACTTCCGCAAAACTGAAAACTAATTTGAACGAAGTACAACAAATAAAACTGACTACTGAATGTTTAATTTGAAAAGGGAAGAAAGCGAACGACAACAGCAACAATAATGTCTAACAACTAGAGAACAAAAACAGCGAAAATGAAAAAGAGAAATAATACACACACACACACACACACACAGGCACACGCATACAGCCATACACACAATAGACATACATATGTATACCAAATATCCCCCCAATTGTGTTAAGGATGTTGCAAAAATGGCGCATTGGCTGTGAGAGAGAGAGAGAGAGTGAGAGGGAGAGGCAGAGGCGAAGGCAGAGTGAGGGAGTTAGCTAGGTGCTGTGGGCAGAGTAGGTAGCGGAACGAACTGAACTGAGCTGAAACGAGAACGAGAACGAGAATGCCCGACATACGGTTAGAAAAACATTCGCACATAAAAATGCTAACATTTGAACGAGAGCGCATACTAGCACAGCACACACACACACACACACACACACACAGCATAGCTCACTTTGTGTGCCTGTGTGTGTGTGTGTGTGCGTGCGGCTGACATAATGAAACATTATTAAGAGCCACGACGTCAACGCAGCAAAAGGTATCTAAATTTGAGAAAATGTTGCCCGCCAGCCCTGCGGCTGCTCGGAGCAGGGGGGATTGGGGGCGTTAGCGCGCCAAGAGTTTTGGCTTCTGCAGTCGCTGGCGTCGACGTCGCCTGCCAATTTGCGTCCGCGCCCGCGTTACACAATAGATGGAGAGGAAAACACAAATATCACATTTACAGCGAGCAGCACTCCACCATTTTATGTTATTACGTTGTCTCTGTGTGCGTGTGTGTGTGTGTGTGCGAGAGTGCGACGAGCGGCTGCTGCTGCCCCTTGCCCAGCCCCTGTCTCGTGATTGGGGGTGCACTTGGTCGTAGATTGGTTTACAATCTCAGTCATCCCCTGCTGAGAGCAGAGACGCAAAAGACTAGCTCCATCTCTTTCTGGCATAAACGGGGATGCTGATGCGCTGACGCTGACGTCGGCAGCGCTGCGCGACAACGACAACGGCAACGACAACGACAACGACGACGTCGACAGTAGAATCACAGTTATTCGAGATACGAAAACATAGCAGCGCCGACAAAAGCTCATGGAAGCGAGAGCGGCAGCGGTTTTGATAAATAAATGTTTGAGTTATGTAGAAAAACATTTCGGGCGAGAAGATTTTCGTTTTCGTTGCGATTCAGTTAACATTTGGCAAAAGGATTCCGCCTAAAACAGACAAGCCGACGGATGACGCATCAGAGCCAAGCCACAAGCTCGTAAGATCTAAGCAGTGTTCCACGTAGTTCAATAAAAACGGAAGCGGTAACGGTAAACGGTTAACGGTAAACGGCAACGGAATCGGAAATAACATTGCAAACTTGAAATTAGTGTTGAAAATATTGAAAAAAAATCGAGTGAAAAGCAAAAGCAAAAGAAGAAAGAATAAAACATAAATCAGTTCCTGAAAAATAGTCAAACAAGTGTTACGTCCTCTTCATAAGTTAAGCATTTGATTAGCATATAGACAGATCCTTACGATTAGAATAGTTAAGCGCTAAAGCAACAATAACAATGCACACCAGCACAGATCCTATGCACGCCCTGCACGACTGCTCCTCCCAGTCGCCGCCACTGCACAAGGTACAGCGCGGCGGCGGCCTCACATCCTCGCGAGCCTCCATTGCCGCCGCCGCCGCCGCTGCGGATGAAATGTCCCTGATCTGCGACGACAGCGACTTTGAGTCAACGGCCGCCGGCGGCAGCAGCAGCGGCGGCGGCGGCGGCGGCGGTGATAATAACAACGGCAACGCCAGCGGCACTATCAACGGCAACGGCAGCACCGGCGGGCCTCTGGTGAAGCCGCCCTACTCCTACATAGCTCTGATCACCATGGCCATATTGCAGTCGCCGCACAAGAAACTCACACTCAGTGGAATATGTGATTTCATAATGTCCCGGTAAGTGGCGCAGAGTCACATCTTTAGTTATTAATTAGAATAAGTTAGATAAGACTATTAGACTCTAGTTAAGGCTAATTTCAATGGATCTTAATATAAGTTCTTATTAAATTCTAAATTATTAAACAACTATTAAAGCACAGCAGTCAATAGTGTTTTTATATACTCAAACGAACTGTTAAACTAGTTCTTCATTCGACAAGGTAACGTCAGATAGTATTAATTTATTATATAATTAGACTGGCTAATAGAAAATTATATTTCTCTTGAATTCCTATTTGTAATTTTAATGTTATACTATTTTTATATGTTTAATTTTTTTTTGGTTTTTTTATTTCAATTTAATTATATATTTATCTTTATTTTATTTCATTTATTTGTTAAAATTTAATTTGTATATAAGTTTAATGCAATTTTTATTTCATTATTTTTTAGCTTAAATTATTTTTATTTTAATTTTTATATTTATTTTATTTGAAATTTTTTCTTATGTTCTTCTTTTGATGGAATTGAATTTTTTTATTGTAATTTTTTTATTCTTTCGTAATTTTTATTTATATTAATATTAATATTAAAAAGTTTCTTAAGTGAAAAATTATTCCATAAGATCTATATGGATTTATTTTAATTCTTAAGAAATTTTTTAATAATCTAAAACTAAAAAGTATTTAAAAATATTTTCTTTTCATTCAAAGAAATTTATATACCTTAGCTCAGAGAAACTCTATTGTTGAATAGAACAAAGAACGATCTTGAAGCAAATTGTTTTTCTATAGAGTATTCTTATAGATGACATATAAGATTTTATAGTAAAAGATTTGATATCCTTGCAGTTTCCCATATTATAAGGATAAGTTTCCCGCTTGGCAGAACTCGATTCGGCACAATCTGAGCCTGAACGATTGCTTCATTAAAGTTCCACGCGAGCCGGGCAATCCGGGCAAAGGCAATTTCTGGACACTGGATCCGCTGGCCGAGGACATGTTCGACAATGGCAGCTTCCTGCGCCGACGGAAGCGCTACAAGCGGGCGCCGGCCATGCAGCGTTTCTCGTTTCCGGCCGTCTTCGGCACCTTGTCGCCGTTCTGGATACGGAAGCCGGTGCCGCTGGTGCCGGTGCACTTCAATGTGCCCAACTTCAATGGGAGTCGCGACTTCGATGTGATGCACACGCCCAGCGATGTGTTCGACACGGCGCTGCGCGTCGACAAGAAATTCAACTTCTTTGCCAATGCCGAGGCTTCGTTCTATCAGAACAACAACGACAAGTTCGACCGGCTGTCGTTCATCAATCGCCGCATGGATGCAGTCGACGCACTGCCGCACAGCAGCAGCACCGGCGGCGATGCCAGCAGAGCCAACAAGTACAAAAATCCATATGCGTTCGATGTGTCCGCAGCTGCGGCCGGCCTCGGCGCAGCCGACTACGCGGACCGAGGCAGCAACTATACCGATCTCAATGTGTACAACGATGATGTGGATGCCGACGATACCTCGTGCGACAAGATCGACGTGGAGAGCGCCAACGAGCACGAGCAGGACTCGCACATATCGGACTCCGTCGACTCGGTGTGCACGAATCCAACACGATTAGAGGTCGCCTCAGAGGCCACCACACGCGACCCCGATCCCGAGCCGGAACGCAACTCGCCCTATGCGCTGCTCTTCGAGCAGACCGAGGCGTCCAACAGCTCACTCGCGATAACGTCCAGTCCCAAGACGCCCGCCAGGTCACTGACCAGATCCACTCTACTACACATCGACACGGAGCCCGCCAACCTGAGATGCGCCAGGCAGACAATAGCCAAAGACTTTCGCATAGAGACGCTGATTGGACACGGGCACAGCGATGGGGCGGCCAGTGATTAGAGAACTGAGATGGGATCTCCCTCTCCCTCTGTCTCTCTCTCCCTCTGTCTCACGCTCTCTGCATATGCTTGGGCATATTTTAACACTTCTGTACGTTGTAAACTTTAGCTGTAGTAGAACACGGACCCATTGACGTATCCCCAGCTCCGACAGCATCCCGTTTAGCACCCACGCATCTCCCAGTTACCTTTCTGCCAATGCACGAACATTTTAATGCGACCAAAGAAACGCGCCAGCTGCGAGTCCACATCAATTGTATAAAATATATAGAAGACGCACATAAATAAATATTTATGCCCGATTGTAAGCAGAATATACATATATAAAGAAATTACATATTTATAGCATACTTTTAAACGATTGCATATGGCATACGCGTGCACCTGTATGTGTGTGCGTCTACTACTACTGCATATGTAGATGCACGTCTGTCTCTCTATCTATGTGTGTGTGTTTGTGTGTATTTACATGCATGTATGCATATAGTGTATGTCGATGCGCCCAGCACATGCAAACACTATTAACTATAGACGTAGTCACTAAGAGATTTGCTGATGTTATTGAAAATTTAATAAAAACTATAATTAGAAGATGAGCATCCCTTGAATAATGCATACAAAACGTAAGTAGGACTGAGCAGGTGAGTTCGTGGGATAAGCTATTAAGAATTTGGAATAATATGGAATATATTCTATATGATTTACTATATTATATACTTATATATATTTTATATATTTATATTTTATATTTATATATTATTTATTAACTTTACTATATTATACTATTTACTATATTATTTATTTACTATATTATATACTTATATATATTTTATATATTTATATTTTATATTTATATATTATATATTAAATATTGCTTAGTTACATATTTCTGTTTTTAATGCAAAATTAGATTATATTTCTTATAATATTTTTTATTATTATATATAATATTTTATATTTATTTGTATTCTTTTTTAATTTATATAATATTTTCAAATTGTTTTTTATTATTATTTTATTATTTATTTATTGTATATACTATTTTGTATGTATTATTTTTATTATAATTTTTAATTATTTATTAATTTATTTAATACTTTATTTTTTATTTTTATTTGCTTACAATTTTACGCCTACAGCACGCTTAACTTAGATTAGTTTTTTGTTAATCTAATTGGAAATTTTACTTAGATTTATTAGCTAAGCTCTTCTATACAAATGTACAGTTGTGTTCATGAAAGTAGTAGCGGTGCTCCACACAAAACAGAAGCCAAATGAAATGGTATTATTTCTGTAGCAAAATTAAAATATGCCAATAGAATGCAAAGAAGACAGCTACGAAAAATACAGAATTCATATGATTTTGGCCATTTTATAGAAACGCATTGAATATTGGTTGTACATAGAAATAGTAGTGCTGAGTGTAAGCAGCTGAAAATTGAATGTCAAAAGAAACTAATTTTCCTGGCCTTCAAGTCACTTATTTCTATTCATCATAAAGATGACTTGGCAGCTAGAAACAATCTGTAATTATTTTATTATGTGTGCTACAGTTTCTTCATTAAGTTGGCAAATAAAATATCTATAAGATTTAAAGAATATTTAAATGATATATTTGCTGTTGAGCTTAAGATGGACTTTGAGCTACTTTTTAGTCCAACAAGTATATAGTTTTTGATTTCATTTATGTTAAGATAATATTTTTATTTAATTTAAGCTTAATTTCTTTCAGCATAGTATTTTATTTTATTTTACTAAAAGGCAGAAATAAAACTAACAAAATCAAATTTTCTTATCATTTCAATAAATTTCAGTTTATTTTATTTTTACAAATTATTTAGAAATTTTTATAATGATTATTATGCTTTACTATCAAGATGGCAATTTAAGAGTTAACATAAAAATAAAGATATTTGGCATTAACTATAATTTACTTTATTGACACGCTTAAAAATGTTAATGACCCCCAAAAGTAGGCAACACTTTTTCATAGTAAAGTTGTCTAATTGAAGAAAGTTGGAGTCTTAATTGAAGAAACAATTAACTGCCAACTGTATGGCTTGACACTTGCAACAAGTTCAATGCAAACACAACTCTCTCTCGCGCTCTCTCTCTTCCATACTCTCTCGATTGTCTGATAACTTTTTGCCAACTGTCAAACCGGAATTTCAGCTGTCAAAAGGCTGGAGCATGCGCCGTTGCAATGGCGCTCAGCTGTTCGTGAGGCTCGTGCAGGACGAAGAGTGAAACAGGGACGACGCGCGTTGAGTATGCGTCAGTGGAGGAAAGCTTTGCGGCTCTTGGCGAAAGCTCTGCGCGGACAGTGCTCTGAAGTATTTGTAGCGTGGTATTCCAGTGTTAAAACATTAAAAGCTAGGCTGGAAAAAGGACAACAGTTAAATAGAAGATACCAACACTATTGGTATCCAGCGGTACGGAGCTGCAAACTCCATTTGGCATAATTCCCCACACACTCACACACACACGCACACACAGGCACACACAGCAAAAAGTCGATTTTTCACCAACATAAAGTTGTATATGTGCAAAACTTTCGAATCGCTGGATATAGTCGCTGCAAACGCGAATTAATTTAGCTAAAAAAACTGCCATAAATACGCATAGGAATACATATATTAAGAATGTGTGTGATATAGAAGTGTAAAGCATTTAACTTTTCATACCAAAATGCTGAGCTCATCATAGAGCGTAGAAAAGTTCTGCCAGCAGCAGCAGCAGCAGCGAAAGGAGCCTTTGCCCCCCCCCACCAAACTGCGCCCGTGTCGAGTGTTGGCCTGTTGTTTGTGATGTTATGTTTATGGTAATGAGAAAGGTGATAATTTGTGTGACCAAGCGCCTTAAAGGCTGTTGAGCAATGCGCAGCGGCCGGAGGCAGACGACAACAGCCTTACCCTAAGCCAGAGCCAAAATTCAAATAGGAATTGCGACCGCAGGCAGCAGCAGCAGCAGCTGAAAGCACTTTACGTCCGGGTTAAGATAACGTTAAGCAAAAGCTACGGCTGCACAACGACAACAACAACGACGAGGACGACGACCAGGACCAGGTCGACGACTAGAAAGCGCACATGGCGAGCTGGAGCTGGAGCATCTTGTGCGCAACGCTGTTGGCCGGCCTCACGTTACTCACGGGTAAGTCGGGGCGTACAGACAGTGGTGGAGAGACGGACAGTGCGAGAGGGAGAGGCAGCTTATTCTAATCCTAATCCTATATATAGTGACCCATACGGTGCGCATTACCAATCTCCGGGTGCCGCACACTTACACACTCGAACGTGATAATGAGCCCGATCCTTTGGTGTTGGACTGCGAGTACGAGATGGGGCCAAGGGAGAAGGGCTTTGTGCTCAAGTGGCTGTTCAATAATCACTCCATCTATCAATGGATACCATCCGTAAAGGGTTTTGCCATGGTGAGTCATCGTCACCCCATTTCAGCTCAAAACGTCAAATACAAAGGGCGAAGACGAGAGAAAAAACAAAAAATTAATTAACATAAAATTTGCTTTCTTCTTGTTCTTCTCACATTTGTTGTCGTTGTTGTTGGGATTTGTAGGGCTTCATGAAGGCAAAGATAGACACCAAAATATTCACCATGGAGGGCAGTCCCGGTGTTATATCGATAAAGAATCCCGACTGGAACATGACGGGGGAATACACCTGTGCCGTGCAAACCTTTGAGTCCACGGATAAGCGAAGTGCCCGCTTACAAATAATCGGTATGTGAATGTGACTGCGACTGCCACTGTGGATGGGTTTGCAATTTACATATGTGTATATAAAGCTATTGTTTCCCTTCGGTTATCCCAATACACTATGAAGCGTACGGCTATATTGATGTGTGCTTCAGGATGAATCAATTTGTTGAGTAGGCCACGTTTTGTTAGGCATAGAGCGAGAGCTTAGTGCAGTTGCAGTTCTGATTAGAATTGTATTTATAGGAAGTGGGTGATATTATAGCAAAGCTAATTGTATGTTTGCTAATTTTCTTATTGGAATGTATATGGGCACCGTGTTGAGCTCTTGCTGTGTATTTGTTATTGGAATTAATCTTATAGGAATTTTAAATAGGTTTATGAATTCTTATTGAAATGCTATTGTGAGTAGCATATTGAATTAATTGGTTTTTATAGGAAATCAAATACGTGCACATATATGGTAGCTTATATTTCCAATTGGACGTGCTGCTATAAGAAATATATTTAGCTCTTGAGTGTGTATTTGTTATTGAAATTGGTTTAATAGGAAACTATTATGCATATATATGAATATACATATATATCAGATTTGTATGAGTTGGAGCTTAAGCTATATATCTTTAATTATTTGAATATATAATTCCATTTATTATTAAAATACATTAAATAAAAAAAAAATGTATACATAAATATATGTTATTTTAGAATATTATGAAGTTAAAAAGTTAGCTTTGATAATTTTCCTGATTGAAGTATAATATATAGATATATATAGATAAACTATTATGAAAGTTAACAAATTTTTAATTTCTGTAATTTGATGAATTCAATATATGCCAAAATATCTTAAATCCTCTTCAAGCTGAACATCATTGAGCATCTATAGAGTACCGCAAAAGTCGGCTCTATTGAGCTCTATTTTACTCACCTGTTTATGGCGTGAACTTGTTTGCATAGGTGTTGGCTAGGTGTGTTGCCACATGTGGGTGTGCGACTGTGTGTGTGTGTGTGTTTGTGGCACGTGCGACTCATATTTGCATGCGTGTCATGTGGCAGTCGCTGCGGTTATAAAGCGCCCAGCCAGCAGCCAAGCGCCGCCTCTTGTTTTTGTTTGTTTTGTTTTCTTCTTTTTTTTTGTGTTTTATATCAAAAGTTTTTTGTTGGTTTTTTTGTGTTTTTTTGTTTAGTTTGACACTTGATTAATTCTCACGGACTTTTTTCGCTACATGTCCTGTGACCAATCTACCCACGCCCCCTTTGAACACCAACTCGATTGGCGAACAGTTCCTGAGTCGGATTTCATGCTGGAGGCACGCATGGGTGGCGAGCAGACAGACGTGGACATAATGTGTGCCGTGCAGAATGTTTTCCCCCAGCCGGTGCTATCCGTCATGTAAGTAAGGATCAGCTTTCGCCAGCGATATCTAAAGTCTGTTCCTATTCAGTTTTGATACACATATACTGGACTCGGTGCTGACGCAATTGGATCAGAATCCCAGTGGCCTGTACAGCATGACAGTGCGGACGCGCATTCCTAGAGATCAACTCGAATCACCCACACCGATCACATGTGCGTTTTTCCTGCTCGGCACTAACTATACCAAGCGCAGGGAAACTATTTTCTATGGTAAGTAGAGGTAAGCTGGCAGGCAGGCGGGCCCCCCATCCACTCAAGCAGATCTTAATTAAGTTTTCCTCTCGCTCTTCCTCAACTTCATCTTCGCCTGGACGCCCATTGCCATGCAGATAAAGCCACAAATATACAACGCAAATGGACAACAGTCGCCGTAGTTATGTCGATCGCATCTTTAGCTTTAAGCAGTTAGTTTGGTAGTGTTTTTTGTAGGCTATGTACGTATTTGTTTTTATGTTCGTATAGAATGTTTAAAAAGAATTTCATTTTTAAATAGAATTTTAAAACGATAAACGTAATTTTTTGCGGTATTTTTAAAAAAGCGCTTATTTTGTAAATGCATGTAAATGTAAGAGAAACGAATGATACACACACACGCATACAGTAATACACACATATACACACACATACACTCAAATACATACAAAAGTAAGAAAGAAAACTGAACACAAAAACATACATTAAACATTCAAAAACACAGAACAAAAAACAGTAAACAAGCAGAAACAAACAAACAACAAACAAGAACAAAAACTAAAACAAATTATTGTATTCATATATTTACCATATAAATTAAAAAAAAAATATATATATAAATAGTTATGTATGATGTATAGGTCTAATTGAGTACAGAAACGCTAATAAAAAACGAAAACATTAAAAGTGCATTAAAATAAATGTGTGGTCAAATGTTTTTATAACAAGTTAAATGAATAATATAAGTTGGTAATATTTTAAAACTTTTCAAATTTATGTAAATTCTAAATAACCATTCAAATGTAACGCTTATAAGCTATTTGGTATTTTTTGGTGCATTTCGCTTGTGGCACTGTACAATGCAGCCCTGCGCAAATGGTGTCTCTTTTTTATGCAGCCCTGGCGCGCATGTTCGTACCAGCGCTTCCAGTGTGCCTTCCCGTGCGCCTATGAGTATGCAGTGAAAATGACAGCACTGGCAGCAGCAGCAGCAGCAGAGAAATCAACATCATTGTGAACTTAAATAGCAAAAAGTTGACGCCATAGGCCAGACGATAGGCAGAGCCAAGGTTTCTGCTCCCTTGGCACATTGATTGGATAATCTGCGAGCCATATTAACAACACTTTAGCTGTCACAAAAGAGATATAACAATTTTTACTCAGCAGCATGTCCTAGTAATAGTAGCTGGAAGCGTGGAAACTCTCAACCAAATTGTTGGCAGAGCAACAGTAGCAACAGTAGTAGCAGCAGCAGGAGCAGCTAATGCGGAAGCATGGCGTCCGCCGATGGCGACACTATCAACACCATTGACCTGGACAGCTCCTCAACATCGCAGGCTAAACTAGCTGAGCCAAGTAATGGTAATTAATCAAAAAAAAAAAATTGCCATAAATAAAAGCATTTTTGCTATTGCAAAAAAGTTCACAACGAAATTGTGGAAAACAAAGACGAATTCGCTACGAGCGCAGACAAAAAATCAATGAATGGCAAATGGAAGTGGCCGTGGCGCATGTGTCTCGAAACTAGGTGGGTGGCAGGGGGCGCGCCCCATTTGACTGACTGGCTGACTGGCTGACTGCCTGACTGACAGAGATACTTGTGTGAGCCAATGCCAACACATTTCCAATTGATATTTATATTTCAAGAAGGACCTATATAAAAATCAAACGAAAACAAAAGAAACTTTCAAACGGGCAACAACCTGTCAACTATTTATGGATACTAAGCGTGTGTGTGTGCGTCTAAAAAGTTTGCGTGTGCGTATGTGTATGCGTGTGTGCTTGTGTGTGCGTGAATGTACCTAACACAAGTTCAAGCTCAAGTTGAATTGTTTCCCACTTGGGTCATTCGCTATTCATGTCCAGCACATTATAAATTATATATGCATTCAGCACGTTAAGTAGGCAACTAATAATATACTTTCTCAACTTGTAGTTTCCACCGACCATGTGGGCAACTCATCGCCCGACGTAAGTAAAGCCATTGGATACACACATGTTTAAGTTTATATATAGCATTGAGCTTCAATATTCTATATTACTCTCAGCTGGGCAGTCGGCCTTTGCGCTCGGCCAACAAAGCGGACAAGGAGCGAAAAATTGGACACAGGCGTGTTGGCGAGGGCGGCGAGATTACCTACAAGAAGATACAGACGTCGCAAATTATGGGCTCCATACAGCTGGGCATACAACACACAGTGAGTTGCAGCAATATAAAGATATTCATTCATATTGAAAACGTCTGTAATTTTTCGCACAGGTCGGCAGCCTGGCATCAAAGCCTAAACGTGATCTACTTATGATGGACTTCTGGGAAATCGAGAGCATTACGTTTCCGCCAGAGGGTTCTAGCCTTACACCTGCCCACCATTATAGCGAGTTCAGATATAAGATCTATGCGCCCATAGCATTTCGTTACTTTCGTGATCTGTTTGGCATACAGCCCGATGATTTTATGGTCCGTTGCTAAACCACATTCAATGATTGTTATAAAAATGTATCTTTTAGATGTCTATGTGCACTTCGCCGCTGCGCGAACTATCGAATCCAGGTGCTTCCGGCTCTATATTCTATTTAACGGACGATGATGAGTTCATTATCAAAACGGTGCAACACAAAGAGGGTGAATTTTTACAAAAACTACTGCCTGGGTAAGGGAAACACCTAGATGGATATATGTCTAAAGAAGAGAGGCAGAGAGAGTGAGGTTATTAATGGCTTCATTTCCAACAGTTATTATATGAATCTCAATCAAAATCCGCGCACTCTATTGCCGAAATTCTTCGGCCTCTACTGCCTGCAAACGAGCAATGCCAAAAATATTCGCCTGGTGGTGATGAACAATCTGCTGCCATCGTCGGTGCGAATGCATCTGAAATATGATCTCAAGGGTTCGACGTTTAAGCGTAAGGCATCGAAGGCGGAACGGGCCAAGAAATCGCCCACGTACAAGGATCTCGACTTCATGGAACAGCATCCGAATGGCATTTTTCTGGAGGCGGAAACCTATTCGGCTCTGATCAAGACCATTCAAAGGGATTGCACAGTGCTGGAGTCATTCAAGATTATGGACTACTCGCTGCTGCTGGGCGTTCACAACTTGGACGTGGCTCTCAAGGAGAAGCTGAGTGAACAGCGAAAGCCATTGAGAGCTCCGCTGGCCGAGGATTCCGATGTCGATGAGCCGCTGGAAGCTGCCGAGGGCGATGGCAAGGATCGTGATGCGGCCACGGGCATCAGCAGAAATAAGTGAGTATTCAAGGGGGCAAACGATGTGGAGAAGCCAATGATAAAATGCTAATCCAGTGTGGCATACAGATCGGTGAATAGGCAGCGTCTGGTGGCGCATTCCACGGCCATGGAGAGCATCCAGGCGGAGAGCGAACCCATCGACGATGAGGAGGATGTGCCGTAAGTGCAACAATTGCCAAACAATTTCTTGCTCTAAAATATATATATATATATATATCTTAAACAATCAGACCTGGCGGCATTCCGGCACGCAGCGAGAAGGGCGAACGCCTGTTGCTTTATATTGGCATCATCGATATACTGCAATCTTATAGGCTAAAGAAGAAGCTGGAGCACACATTCAAAAGCATTATACACGACGGGGTAAGCGCCTGAGATAAGTTGAGCTCGGATAGGAGAATCGAACTATATATATATATATTTTGCTTTGTAGGAGACCGTGTCTGTTTGTCGGCCCTCGTTCTATGCTCAAAGATTTCAAAACTTTATGGCTAAGACCGTATTCCGCAAGATACCATCGCGTAAGTCAGCTGGCTGCCGCAACTGGGCTAAGTACACGTACTATAAGGCATTTTTGTGCAATTGGCAAAAAGAAACTACTTAAACATGTCCGTGTTGACATTTGACCTTTTGGCGTCGTTTGTTGCGTAGCTGCCACCCACCCACACACACACACGAACACACACACACACACATATATATTGGTATATCTGACTAATTGATATACTTATTAAACACATTGTAAATCGCTAATTTAGTTTGATTCAGTTTTTGTGCAGCAAAAATGCAATATGGTACACACTTTGCCCCATTCGGTAGTCGGCTAATTATTATCTATTATCTCGAGTCGTTAATCCGTAATTTGAATTTGTGTATTCTTTCTTTCTGAAATCGCTGTTCTCTGCTTTCTTTTCGATATTACTTTGGCGCATTACTCTCACTTGTACGCATAGTGGATCTCCCAGAGATCAAAGGAAATCACAGAAAATTTCGTACCTTGGTAACCAGTTATATAGGTAAAGAACCAACAATAATCACAAGGTGTATCTGTTATGATTTGATTGCTAAGTAACTAACTAAGATATATACATATATTTATATACATCTATATATATTTATTAAGTTCTTACACTTTGGTTTTATTTTATATACTTAATGCACTTGGTTGGTTGATGAAACCGGACGCAAAGCATGCCTCTCGATCACACGTTAGTGTTCATCTCTCTAACCCACATATCTAACTAATCCAAATGCAATGAGCTTCTGCTTTAAGTGCTGCGCCTACTCGATCACACCTTTTCCACGTTTCCCGCTTGTCTCGTTTTTAAACTAATTCATCAACTTTGTGGAATCTTACAGCGCTAAAGCACTCGCCGTCGAAGAGAAAAAGCCTCTCCAAGGCCATACAGCGATCCATAGACAGCGACAATGAGCCCATACGAGGTGAGTGAGCATTGCTCAATTGAGCCGAGCCACTTTTCTAATCCTTTCCATCCATCTCAGCTGTGCACGCGTCGCACTCGCACAGCAGCGGCAAAATACATCAGCCATCCAAGCCGTCTAACTCAGAGCCCACGTCTGCAGCAGCAGGTGGCGATAGGGAGAGGGACAGAGATCGGGATAGGGATAGGGATAGGGATAGGGAAAGTGGGCGTCACTCCAGTGCAGCTGGCCAGAGCTCAAACTCAAGCAATGTGCCACCGCCCGTGCGACAGCGCGCGTCGACCTCGTCGACAGGCGGCGCTGCTGCTGGCAGCAATCTGAAGGCGCGTGTTCCTCCGCCAGTGCCACCGCGTGGCTCGCCACGTCGCAAGGATGCACAGGACAGTCGGGCGCACTCGACCACGCCAGGTACAGCAACACACGATATCAATTCACCCACAGACACAGCTCAAGTCAGCGCGAGCAACACGTTGCAGCTGCCCAGTGAGGCGAATCCTCGCTTTGGGGAGCGTCGCTCGCCCAGCAATGTGCAAGATTGGCTGGAGCTACATGATCTGTTCGATGTGGCGGACAACTTGAGTCCGGCTCCCGTGCCAGTGCAACGCAGTCGTTCGACGCGCCGTCGTGAGTCGATGCAGTCGGCCTACTCCACGGCGCGCTCAGAGAGCAGCCATCGGCGGCTGCAGCAGCAACAGCAGCAGTCGCGTCTGCTCAGCCATGTGGACATCTTTCAGCGCCAGAATAGCTTCATTGCGCGCAGCGAACGCTCCT